GTGCGTGCGTGCGTGCGTGCGTGCGTGCGTGCGTGCGTGCGTGCGTGTGTGTGTGCGTGCCATGCATGCATGTGCTTTGGCGGTTTAGCACTCTTCCCCTGAGATGTATTGTCTGTATAAAGGAGGGGAGATGATGGCAGCCTGCTCCTCACATTCATAGTTTCTGTTTTAATCTCTTTATATCTGTGTATGCTTCTCTGACTTTGCCCTCAGCAGAACATCAGAAAATCTCCAGAAATGAAAAGGAGGTTATACTTTTTGCAATATTGATCCCTGCTTAGTGAGGAACGAAACACATGTTGCCCTCAGGAGCTGTGGTAGAAAGAGAGATGATCACGATACAGTACGTATTAATGACAATCATGTGTTTTTCTGAGACATGATGGCAATTCCTATGGAAAGGTATACTTCACCAAGAAACCATATTGCATATCATTTGATCTCCCTGTGTGTTTAATTTTTTTTTTACATTTATTCTACTAAAATCATACAAAAACTTATACGTAATTCATACACACAAATGAACAAAATGAGTAGAAGCGGGAGGGCTGAAGCATAGTTTATGGGGAGTAGCCCTCCCGTGCATCATCATTAGCATCAATATAACAATGGCATTTATTTCGTCAAAAACGTATAGAAATTAAGGAGTACAAAGAAATAAAGAAAACTAATGAAAACTGAAAAAAAATAAAAGTTAGGGCAAGAAAAAAGTAAATGCATATATAAATAACAGTGGGAATATCCAGTATTTGTTAGCTGGAGTAATCTGCAAACAGAATTGTTTTTACTTTAGTTTTAAATTGTTGATGACTAGTAATAGTTGAAAGGTCTAGGTGGAGTCCATTCCACGTTCTAACATTTAGGCATCATTTTTAATTTTACTAGGAAAAAATTACGATATCCAAAATCTATGGCGATATCTAGTGTCATATCATTTATCTATATAATTCCCTGCCATAAAATACAGAGACTGTAATGTAGAAAGTAGCAGAATCAAAAGGCTCTGACTGAATAACCTCCAGATGCTCTGTGCCTTGAGCTGCAGCGCAACACTCATCTTCAAACGCTGTGGCGGGCAGTGGTTTGTGAAGAAGAGGAGGAATAGGAAATGAAGGTGGAGTACGAAGCGAGGCTGTGTGAGGCGAGGAGACGAGGCCTTGAGACGACCCTCAGGAGAGTCTTAATGTTAAAACACTTCACATTATATTGCAGTAAAAAATGTAGGGACCCGCAGTAGCTGAGGCTGCTTCAGAGCTTCCTGTCAGCTTCACTCGGGAGAAGAAGCTTTGTGTTTGTGGGGATCAGTTTCTGTGTTTTCTCCAAAGTGAAAACGATTTAGACGGTAGCAACATTTATCAACGCTGAGGTTGCTGCTCATGTGGTTTAAACTCTGAGTGGGTATTCGATAAGATGG